ATAGCTTATGACCTAGGTTGGAAAATAAGCTACATTTCTTAAGAGCTGATACGTGCTAAAAAAGTTTAATTAAATTAATATACTTAAGCGACTGAAGAGAGTTGCATGAAAATTTGCAAACGGATAACTTATGACCTAGACTGGAAAATAAACTATTTGTCTTAAGAGTTGCCAACAGTAAAAAAAGTTTAATTAAATTAATACGCGGAAACGGCTGAACTGATTTGCATGAAATTTTTTACATGGATATCCTTCAACCTAGATTGGAAAATAGGCTACTCCTCTTAAGAGTTGCCACCTGTTAACAAAATTTAATCAAACTAATACCCGGAAACGACTGAACTGATTTGCATGAATTTTGCACGCAGATAGATTATGACCTAGGTTGGAAAATAGGCTACTTTTCTTAAGAGCTGCCACCTGCTAAAAAAGTTTAATTAAATGAATATACGGAAACGACATAACGGATTTAAATGAAAATTTGCACGCAGATAGCCTATGACCTAGGTTGGAAAATAGGCTACTTTTCTTAAGAGCTGCCACCTGCTAAAAAAGTTTAATTAAATTAGCACCCGGAAACGACTGAACTGATTTGCATGAATTTCGTACACAGATAGCTTTTGATCTAGGTTGGAAAATAGGCTACTTTTCTTAAGAGCTGCCACCTGCTAAGAAGTTTTAAATTAATTAATATACGGAAACGACTGAACGGATTTGCATGAATTTTGCACACAGATAGCTTATGACCAAGGTTGGAAAATACTTTTCTGAAAAGCTTATACCTGCTAAAAAAGTTTAGTTAAATTAATATACGGAAACGCCTCATAGTGGTCCGTCTAAAACAAGCTAGCTGGACAAATTTATTTTCTAAGATTTTACGTTTCCTTTATGTTCTGGAACTCAATTTATGTAATTTTATTAACAAAAGGAATATTTTTAAGAGGGTTGCTACCTGTTGAAAAAGTGAAATTCTGTTTTAATAATAAAATGTGACATGTGTGTATGGGTGTCAAACAAAAAAGGATTAAAAAAATATTATTTCGGTTATATTTTTGAAAATCGTTGCCTCCTTTCTAAAAGCCCAAAATGGATAATATCAAATATTTTAATAAAATATTACAATATGGGTATCAAACGAAAGAGGTTTAAGGGATCTTTACTTTGAAGAAGGCTAGCAAACGAAAAATCAATCAAATCTATGAATTTATATCTTTATCTTACTTTGCTTGCTTGAATTGAAGGAAAAACTAAGTGAGCTTTTCAATTCAACGCCACAGTGAATCGCTTAGAACAAGCTAGGTGGACAAAAATATTTTATTGTACGATCTTTTTGCAGAATAACATGTTTTAAATATAAATTATAATTTAGACCCATAAAGAAAATTAACAAATTAACTACTATCGTCGTATGACTCCTCTTCAGATAAATCAGTTACTGAATAACTATCACTGTCCTTCTGATGAACATCCTTTCCTAACTGATCTGTTGGTATTGGTGGCGGGGAAATTAAATTAAAAACTTCCGCAGGTAGTTCCTCGGATTTCTCTGTAGGCAATTTCCTGAGCAAGCTGATTACAGGATCGGACGTTATTAAAAGCATTTTCAGTCTTTGAAGTTCGTGATTGTTTCCGCGTATGGTGCTCAAGGAACCTACGACAGTCTTTATTTCGGGCCTCTTGCGATTCTTCTGAGAGCTGCCCAATTGGAAGAATGAATGTTTCAATAACATCCGTGCTATGTATTAGTATTTTGTGTACAGTTACTGGCATATAGTACCACGGATACAGCTGAAGATAAAGTATTCCGGTTTCAGAACAAACTTTTTCAAACTCAAGGGAATTAACCTCGTAACCGGAGGATAACGTCCTTAACAAAATACTAAACTTTTTAATTAGACCAAAATCCAAACGTGTAATCTCTCCGCTTAGTTCCGGATTCATAAAGAACCTGCAATCTGTGCTTCCATCGTTAGAATTGCCATAACCAGGTTTTGGTTTGTCTACAATAAGGCCCATTTGGCTTTTAAACTTAAGCTTAATTTCTTCCGCAAGCTGCTGAACGCTATCATTTCTAGCTTGCCACTTTTTTATAAACTATAATAGGCCTTCAATGTCCACATCCGCTTCTGCTTATAAGAGTGACTGGTGCAGTTAAGGCCCGTCCACATAAAACTTTGGCGTTGCGTTGGCGTTGGCGTCGCTTCAACAGCTGACTATGAATACATGAATTCAAGTGCAGCCGTCCACATAGCCAAAATTCGGCAACGCTCACGCCAACACAAAGCAAAAAGATGGCCAACTCTCATCTTTTCGCGTGCGTTGCTCGTCAGCTGTTGCAAATAAATAAAATTGTGTGAAATATTTTCCCTTTTTAATCAAGTGCAGGCAAGAAATATCGTTTTTGATGCAATTATTGATATTAAATATTAATTTATCTGTCGTTAGTATGTTAATTTAGTCACCCAAGCATTCGCTGCCAAGCGTTCATTGTAGCAATCATTCTTTTAACGTGCGTTCTGTCAAACCAACGCCAACGCCAAAGCCAACGCGAAAGTCCTATGTGGACCGGCCTTTAGTGTCTACGTAATAAGCTGATGCTTCGTCTACGTTCAGCTGCTTGCCACCACAAGTAACATTATCATGTTCAATAATTTTCGGGGACTCGACACTTTTTATACCCGACCGCGTCCGTCCGTCTGTCCGTCCGTGCGCTCGTCTGTGCACACGATAACTCTCGTAAAAATTGGGATATCTTAACGAAACTTGGTACGTGCACTTCTTTTGAACGTAGGACAGATGGTAGTGAAAATGGGCAAAATCGGACAATAACCACACCTACCTCCAATATAACGGTAGTTTTGAGAAATACGAAAACTGCGGTATTTTAGTAACTACTGAAGATTATTCGCTCGAAATTGATAATTACAATAAGTTTTAGACGAAAAATAAAAATACTATAATATTTTGGAAAATGGGCGTGGCCACCCCCCCAAGACATGTGTATGGCTTGGTAACCGCTGCTCCAATTTCTTCCAAAATTGGCACAGTTGTTGGCATTGGTACAACATACCAAACGGCTAATAACCACGCCCACATCCCATATGACGGTAGTTTAGAGAAATACGAAATCTTCGATATATAAGTAAATATTAAAGCCCATTTATTCAAAATTGATTTGTATTTGATTTTTACCAAGAAATACGTTTATGATAAAATTTTGGAAAATGGGCATGGCACCGCCGACTTCTACCAATTTGTATGGTATGGTTATTGTGCTTGCACACATAGAAGCAAAACGTTGAAAATTATTGAAATCGGACTAAAATTACGGCCGCTTTTCATATAATGGTAAATTTCAGAAATGCTTAAAACTGCATAAATTCGAATTTTAAGGATGCTAATTTACTCAAAATTGATACAGCCCTGCTTACCATGTAGCGGAAGTTTTCGGAAAGGTGAAAAACATATATTTAATACTTGCGCTGAGTATTTAATGTTCGGCTCCGCCCGAACTTAGACTTTCTTACTTGTTTTGATTAAAGTAGCCTGACAAACGATTTGCTACTTCAGCTGCTGTGGGCGACTCACTGGCACTTCGTGATTGCACCAAATCTTCGACCCTTAGTTTTTTTGTTTTGAAACACATACATATCTTCAATTTTTTGCTTTGGACGGCGTTGAGGTCTACTTCCTTCAGGTGGTGAAAAAGCTCTTATCTGGTGTACGCTAACGCTTAGTTATAGTAAAGTATATTTCCGTCCTCTAACAAAGTTTTATTTTTACTCATGAAACTGTCCATCGTCCTTTTTGCTGCCGTCCATTTTTCGACGAAATGATTGAAATTTTTAATTGTAAATATCTCCGGGAGTTGGATGTCATATTTTGAAGGTTGAATTTTTGGGAAAAAAATCCATCAAATGAGAATTTCGTTGCTCTTTCTCATGTTTACGCAATTCTTCAGCTCCATTTTTGAAAGCGCGCATTCATTATCTGAAAAATTTTGTTTATAAATTTTCAGGCACGAATAGGCCTTTTTTTACATTCCCGTATAGTCTAAAGTAGCTGTTATACAATATAAAAAAATTAGGTTGGATACATGTGGATACAAAAACATATATGTACATATATTAAGAACATATATTAAAAATGAAAAAACAAAAATAATATTATAAGTTTTAAGTATTTATTTCAAAATTCTTACTAATATTATAAATGTGAAAGTTTGTATGTTTGGATGATTGGGAAATCATCACGCGGAAACGACTGAACGGATTTGCATGAAATTTTGTACGCAGATAGCTTATGGGCCAGATTGGTTAATATACTATTTTTTAAGAGTTGCCACCTGTTAAAAAATTTTAATTTATTTAATATGCGGCCACGACTGAACGGATTTGCATGAAAATTTGCGCACATATAGCTTATGACCTGGCTTGGAAAGTAGGCTACTTTTCTTAAGAGTTGCCACCTGTTAAAAAGTTTTATTAAATTAATACGCGTTAACGACTGAACGGATTTGCATGAAAATTTGCACACAGATAGCTTATGACCTTTTTTTTAAGAGTTGCCATCTGTTAGAAATGTTTAATTAAATTAGTACGCGGAAATGAGTGAAGTGATTTGCATGGAAGTTTTCACACAGATAGCTTATGGGATAGGTTGTAAAATGGGATAATTTTGTTAAGAGTTGCCACCTGCTAAAAAAGTTTCTTTAAATTAATACGTGGAAACGTCTAAAACGATTTGCATGAAATTCTGCAAGCAGATAGCTTATGACCTACAGTGGAAAATAGGCTAATTTTTTGGAAGAGTTACCACCTGTTAAAAAAGTTTAATTAAATTAAATTAGGATTTGCTGCCTATTAGAAAGGTTTAATTATATTAATACGCAGAAATGACTGAACTGATTTGCATGAAAGTTTGCACACAGATAGCTTATGACCCAGATTGGAAAATAGGCTACTTTTTTAAGAATTGCCACCTGCTTGAAAATGAAATTTTGCTCACAGATGGTTTATGACCTGGATTGAAAAATAGGCTACTTCCTTAACCGGTTCCCCAATCAGAACAAAGTTTGGTACACTTACTACGGATTTCGCAGGGATGGTCTTAGACTGAAAGTAATTCCGATAACTCAAGGCCCCTCCCATACAAATTGGAATTTTCATATTACATGCATATCTCTGGAAGTATTTGTGGGAGAGAACTGGAACTTGGTATAGAGATATGTATGTGAAATCAGATTCTATTTTTATCAGATTTTATTTTTAATTGGATTAACGATTAATGATAAAATCAATTCTAAATTCATGGAAGAAGATTAGGGTTATAAGAAAAAGGGGCGTGGCCCTTCCTGTACAAATTGACTCTTTCTTGCCACATATCCCTGGAAGTATTTGCGGAAGAATACTGGAACTTGGTATGGAGTTGTGTATACAAAATGTATCAATTGCTAATGGAAAAAACGTGAGTTATTAAAAAAGGAGTCACGTCGCCTCCCATACATACTAAAAATGTCTTAATATATCTCTGGAAGGATAGAAAATCTCTGGAAGCATTTTAAATTTGTTACGGAGATTAATTTTATAAGTGCCGTACTGACAGAAAAAATTTCATTTAATGTAAAGCTCTCATGATGCATACAAACCTTTTGAGGATGAGGAGTGGTATTTTATCAAGGTCAGGTTACTAAATTTGAGTTGGATATATTAGAACCCGCCGTAGCACCTCCACGAAGGTTACACGTTCACACGTCGTATCCCTGGAACCATTTTAATGTAAACTTAGAGGGATTAATATCTTTCGTATGCCTAGCGCGCAGACGAGATTTTATAAATTCATAATTTTGAAGGGCCTAAATACCTTAACTCGCTTAAAAAATAACGAGCTATAACAAAATTGGCACATAAATAAAATATAACATCATTAAATTATTTTTCATATTTGTATAAAAACGTGGGGTGAAACCCGCGGGTATAAGCTACATAGTATCACATAAATCCTCTTTCTTTGATCAAATTTTCTATTAAGAAAATAAAACTCACCTTCTAGAGTAAAATCCATCATAACAGCACTAAATGTATTGACTTAAACTCCTGCTAGAAATTACTTAAAAGAATTGCACAAGAAAAAAGAATAGGCGAATAGAATAGAATAGAAAGAATAGGCGAAACTGGCCAAAGGGTCTCTATTATTTCTCATATTGGTACTTATATGTGTAAAAATGTCAGAATAGCTATATTTCGGTGTAGTTCCCCTCGGTAATTGGAATAAATACTTTGTTATTTTACTATGAATTTATGTATTTACATATATGTCTAAGGAATCCCTCATCAAAGTGACTTACTGTAATAATTTAATATTTGTAATAATAATTTAAATTATTGTTGTTTTTCCACAATAAATTTGCATTTAATACGGCCTCGAGCTCATAAATGAATGTAATAATTTAAGAAAGTAATAACTATTATATTACTTCAGTGGTATTAGTGGTATTCACCAAATTGAGCAAGTCGCCTGGCACTCTGGCAAAAGAGCGGATTAGCTCAAGGAATGTTGACAACTTGCTCACTTTGGTGAATACCCCTATTGTTCTTAAAAGTCCTTAACCCTTTCCCGGCATTTTACAATATATTGTACATTTAATTTTTTGTAACATTGGAAGCGTGCTACTAAAAACCTTATTAATATTTTTG